ACTATACATAAAGTATGACACTTGCTGATGTATACTATACATAAAGTATGACACTTGCTGATGTATACTTTACATAAAGTATGACACTTGCTGATGTATGATATACATAAAGTATGACACTTGCTGATGTATACTATACATAAAGTATGGCACTTGCTGATGTATACTATACATAAAGTATGACACTTGCTGATGTATGATGTACATAAAGTATGACACTTGCTGATGTATACTATACATAAAGTATGACACTTGCTGATGTATACTATACATAAAGTATGACACTTGCTGATGTATAATATACATAAAGTATGACACTAACTAGTGTATGACACTTGCGTATGATAACATTCAGAAGTCATGATCATTTGTTAGGTATGAACATTAGCACTAGAACTTTTCATGGTTATTTGGCAAGTACGTAATGTTAAGATTCAGAAGTCATGATTATTTGGAAGATTCCTGCTGTTAGCATTCAGAAGTAATTGTTATTTGGATGCTTCGTATTATTAAAATTCAGAAGTCATGATTATTTGGAAGATTCCTGCTGTTAGCATTCAGAAGTAATTGTTATTTGGATGCTTCGTATTATTAAAATTCAGAAGTCATGCTTATTTGGAAGGTACATACTGTTAACATTCAGAAGTCATGGTTATTTGGAAGATACGTACTGTTACATTTGAGGGTGATTTGTATGTAGATCTGCTGTAAGAACTCCTGCTGAAGAGATAAACAGTTCAATAAGAGGAAGATGTTTTAATGATACACCACTTTCTCCACGTCGAGATGTTTCCAAAGTGAAATTGTGTACTGTCAATTTTAATTGTGAAATGTATATAGACTCATCTAGAATGTGTGCAAGATCTGTAAAATATTATATATTGTTTCTGGATTCTTCTGTTTGGATGGCTCAAGATGACTGACGATGAAACGTTCTCAGTGGATAACTAGTGAACTGGAACTGAGGATCACTATATTGTTCCTTACTCGTTCACACAGGAGGAAGTGTGTGTAATAATGGAATTTCAAGTTCACTTTGACCTGCACCTCTGACGACCAGATCTTAGTATTGTAATTCAGTATCGCACGTGTTAAGCATTAGTGACTGACAGTTCGCTAGCTTAGCCGTTCTAAGCCATAAGACTTGATGATACTCGTGTGGGAGCCAGCCTGGCATGGCCTGGTGGTGAGGTTGTTCGTCTCGCGGGTTAAACCATGCTCGCCCCTTCAGCTGCGGTGACGTTACGATGTAACAGTGAATCCCATTATTCGTTGGTAAAAGATCAGCCGAAGAATTGGCAGTAGGTATTGTTGACTATCTACCTTCCCTCTAGTTTATCACTGTTAAATTTGGGACGGCTAGCACAAATGGTCCTGCAGTAGCTTTGTGTGAAATTCAAAATAAACAAGCAAAACGTAACAAAACTTTTGGGAGCCAAGTTATAGCCACTCCTCCTACGGCTGCTACTAGTATTGGATTGTTTTCTCTTGTATGCTGCTACGCCCAAATTATTACAGTAATTTTTATACCTTATAAACATTGACAAAAATATTACACTGTTAGTTTCTATGACGCACTAATGACTTGAATCAACACATTTACTTCCGTTACTTGTTCGTTTATATTCTGACGATGTGTGGAAACTTCCGGAGCGAGAACAATATGCTAGCCACTCGTACATTGTTATTAATATGAATTTGTCTATCTTACCTTGATCTCTAAAGGTATAGAATTGTTGAATAGTATCATCTCCATCCAATACTTCTTCTGAATCTGAGATTCTGTTGTTCTGGTGATAAATTTCTAGCACTCTGTCCATCTCACTCTTGGAAATATTGACCTCCGAAACTTCAGGCGTTTCATCCATTCCGAGTTCTTGAAGAAGGCGATATTTCATATTTTCGATGTCTTCTTCTATCTCGTCATCGTATGGAGTTTCTCGAGATTGAAGATAATCGATTGTCACTGGTAACGGTTGTGTCCTCACAAACAAAGTGACGCCGTACAGTAAAAGCAAAGCTCGACTCGCGCATAAACATCCCTCCCGCATCGCTCGTGACCGCGTGACTCTTAGAACCGGCCCCTAATGGAAATTCTACCTGATTCTATACAGTACACATTTAGACAGTGATCTGGTTTATATATCTAGCAGGAAATAAGCTTAGCACGGATCGGACGAATGAGAAATGAAAAGGCAACTATTCTGGCGGGATTTCCCAGTTCAGCCCACGTGTTGTCGTCAAACTAAGCGCACGACGCTAACGAACGGCCAACTGACATTTCATCTATCATTAGACCCGCTTGATTTGCCCGCACATACTAAATCTGAATAAAATGTCAGTACTTCCTAATAAACACCACCTGTTTCTGCTAATCGTACTCTCCAGAAACACCACCTGTTTCTGCTAATCGTACTCTCATGAAACATCACTTGTTTCTGCTGATAAAGTGTACTCTCAAGAAACACCACCTGTTTCTGCTGATAAAGTGTACTCTCAAGAAACACTACCTGTTTCTGCTGATAAAGTGTACTCTCCATAAACACCACCTGTTTCTGCTAATCGTACTCTCATGAAACATCACTTGTTTCTGCTGATAAAGTGTACTCTCAAGAAACACTACCTGTTTCTGCTGATAAAGTGTACTCTCAAAAAACACTACCTGTTTCTGCTGATAAAGTGTACTCTCAAGAAACACTACCTGTTTCTGCTGATAAAGTGTACTCTTCAGAAACACCACCTGTTTTTGCTGATAAAGTGTACTCTCCAGAAACACAACCTATTTCTGTTGATAAAGTGTGCTCTGCAGAAACACCACCTATTTCTCTTCATAAAGTGTATTAACCATAAACACCACCTGTTTCTGCTAATCGTACTCTCAAGAAACATCACTTGTTTCTGCTGATAAAGTGTACTCTCAAGAAACACTATCTGTTTTTGCTGATAAAGTGTACTCTCAAGAAACACTACCTGTTTCTGCTGATAAAGTGTACTCTCCAGAAACACCACCTGTTTTTGCTGATAAAGTGTACTCTCCAGAAACACCACCTGTTTTTGCTGATAAAGTGTACTCTCCAGAAACACAACCTATTTCTGTTGATAAAGTGTGCTCTGCAGAAACACCACCTATTTCTCTTCATAAAGTGTATTAACCAGAAACACCACCTATTTCTCTTCATAAAGCGTATTAACCAGAAACTCCACCTATTTCTGATAATAAACTGCAGTCTTCAGAAACACCACCTGTTCTTGCTGATAAAATATATTTTTAAGAAAACGGCACCTGTTGATAAAGTGTAAATACAGTGGTTAAACACGCTGTAGTAAAACAGTTTTGAAGCATCCCGAAGTCGTTGTGGTCCATGTCGCCACGTCCAATCAGTCTCTATCTCACAACAGTGTATCTTGACAAGAGTCCCGCAACGTAGTTTCTATTGCAAAGAACTCTGTCAAAAGCTCTCACTTCCAAAGCACAACACTTCCCTCTGCCTGCTTTCAATAATCCACCTAATATAGCTGTAGCTGCTTTCAGACACACCCATTTAACAGTTGTATACCTCAACTGTGTCACATTTTCATATAAAGATCGTTCTTGTTTGTTTTGAATTTCGCGCAAAGCTACACGAGGGCTATCTCCGCTAGCCGTCCCTAATTTAGCAGTGTAAGACTAGAGGGAAGGCAGCAAGTCATCATCACCCATCGCCAACTCTTGGGCTACTCTTTTACCATCGAATAGTGGGATTGACCGTCACATTATAATGTTCCCTCGGCTGAAAGGGCGAGCATGTTTGGTGTGACGGGGATTCGAACCCTCAGATTGCGAGTCGAGTGCCCTAACCACCTGGGATCGTTCTTGATCATGTTTCCTACTGCTTCCTGGAACATTTAAATATACAAAATGCTTACCACGGCTAGGGTACAGTTTGTTGCAGGTCTTGCCGCAAGTTGATCCAAAGCCTTGAAAATTATGTCTCTAACCATTATAATCTGAGTGTATAGATATATTACTTCCTAAAGGGCTGTTACTTATCCTTCCCAAAAGTGGTCAGTTTTCTGTTGCGTAGTATTATCTATGAAACGCCAAATATTATTAAAATGTAGTTCTTACACATTTCGTTCCACCACAGCTGTATATAGGTTGTGGCTATCACGTGAATATCTGATTATTGCATTCAAATCGTACTCAACCTTCTGTATTTACTGTAAAATAGCACTTTTGTTCGACTTTCCGGAAACAACCAATGAAAATAGCACGTGCTCCTGCGCATAGTGTTGGCACACCCTTGAAAACCCCCATTTCTGCGTATTACATGTTGGTCGTTGTTTGGAAAGAGTTGATAAGGTTTTCGTATTTCTTGAAAAACGTATTTCATAAATTACCCCCCTGGAGACAAGCTTCTGTAGGTATAGAGTGAAAATGTTTCTTTTTTCTCTAAATATTTATTAATTAAAGTAATTATTTCACTCGTTCACTTTCAAGAAATCACTGGAAACCAACGACTGACAGACAGGTTCGATTCCTGTGATGGGTATAGCGCATGTAGTTCATTATACAGCTTTGAGCTTAACAACCAAAAAATTTATCTCTTTCTCAATTTACAGAGTTTTGTGGTGATTGACACTGACACCTGGTGTTTTCTGGACATCATTCGATCTTTCGCTTCACAGAAAAGCTTCAGTTAGTAACCAGACAATTCCTAACTTTTTATATTAAATACGTGAAGTAAATTTGCTAAAATCACCAGAAGGACTCTCTTAACAAATGAACGAGTGATTGAGTTTTTATTGTGGTTTTACACCATTTAAAATTAATTATTTATAGTCACACATTCTTTTATATTATAACAGTTTTCTAAGGTTCAGTTATCATTCCTTTTGGAATGTACAAGTTTATCCAGTTGACATACGTTTGAACAGAATTATTTAGTCATCATTTTTGTAATCATCGGGTTAAATGAGGTACGAATCCTTCTGTATTAGCTAATACTATTCTGACAAAACTTAATGTAATTTCAGCGATACATTACTTGTTAATATTATTCTGATAAAACTTAATATAGTTTCAGTGATACGTCACTCATTCTTGGAAGTCTCTGACGTGTACCCCCCCCCCCCCGAGTTTCGATACCCGTCGTGGGCAGAGTACAGATAGCCCATTGTGTAGCTTTGTGCTTAACTACAAACATACAAATAAAATCGAACGTCTAATATTATTAGTTAATAATATTCTGATAAAACTTAATATAGTTTCAGTGATACATCACTCATTATAGAACGTGTAACATCAACTAATGTAACTCTGATAAAATCTAATATAGTTTCAGTGATACGTCACTCATTATAGAACGTGTAACATCAACTAATGTAACTCTGATAAAACTTAATATAGTTTCAGTGATACGTCACTCATTATAGAACGTGTAACATCAACTAATGTAACTCTGATAAAACTTAATATTATCTCAGCCACGCATCACTCATTCCTGAAATCTCTGACATGAAATCTTATATATATATATATATTGTGAACCGTAGTGTCTGTCTGAGCGTTTGTCCGTATCCCGTTTCAAAAGCAGCGCATGAAGGCAAAGCTCAACATTCACTTTTGAAATGACGGGAGAACAGGCATTAATAATGTCGATGCCAAATTTTATTTTGCTAGTAGAATATTCTACACTAAATTGTTGGAAATTAATCACACTATCAATAACATTTCAAAATGTGACGTAACTTACAGACTAAAAATGTAGATTTACCTATGTTATTGTTGAGTGACTCTTAGTATGACTGAAATGTTCACTTATACCACTAACCGCTAAAAGTAATTGTTATGTATAAGTATGGTATAAATGTAGATTTACCTATGTTATTGTTGAGTGGTTCTTAGCATGACTGAAATGTTCAACAATTACTTTTAGCGGTTAGTGGTATAAGTATGTATAAGTATGTATAAGTATGGTATAAATGTAGATTTACCTATGTTATTGTTGAGTGGTTCTTAGCATGACTGAAATGTTCAACAATTACTTTTAGCAGTATAATCAATAATGCAACACAATTCATATTTTTCAAGTCCATGAAATAATTTAAATTGATCGATTAAGTTAAACTTTTTCAAGTCCATGGGGACGGGTACTTTTATTTGTATTATTTGATACTATTCTGATAGAGTTTAACAACTGACTCAAAACAAAAATCAATTATAGAAAAAGAAATGCTTCTTCCCCCTTTTAAACTAGATTCACTCTCAGGGGATATCCGGAACCGTGAAGTGGTCCTCAAAACAAAACCTGTTCACAAACAAAATTAAAAAAAGCAATAAAACATACTTAAAGCTATTATCAACATCCAAACAGCACTTACGAACATCTAAACGATCTCAAACTTACTATGCTGATAATAAACTAAAAAAAGCAATAAAACATACTTAAAGCTATTATCAACATCCAAACAGCACTTATGAACATCTAAACGATCTCAAACTTACTATGCTGATAATAAACTAAAAAAAGCTATAAAAATACTTAAGTTTCCTTGAATATCTGTTTCAGTGCAAAGCTAATCACAAAATAAAAATGTTATCGAACCCCGGAGCTTAGCGTTGTAAGTCTGAATATTTACTTCTCACCCAATGGGGGGCATTTCTTTAAGTACGGTGAACATCATAATGTTTATATAAAGAAGAAATGAATGAACAAATGAAATTGTCTGTGAAGATAGAACTAAAATCAACATCTCAAAACAAAGATACTGGATAAAGGCTTATCAACATCTCAAAACAAGGCTATTGGATAAAGGCTTATCAACATCTCAAAACAAGGCTATTGGATAAAGGCTTATCAACATCTCAAAACAAGGCTATTGGATAAAGGCTTATCAACATCTCAAAACAAGGCTATTGGATAAAGGCTTATCTTCTATCTTAATAAGGTCGAAACCTGAAATCCGAGTGATAAGCAGGATATAAGTCCATAAAAGTCAAGTAAGAAACACGGACCAACACTTTGTTTGTTGATTTTAAAGTGCAAACGAACACAATGAGTTATCTGTG